ACAAACTCAATAAATAAATCCTTCATCTTTAATTCCTTTATCAAAATATCACGTGAATATCCAATAAACAGCTTGAGCACGCGTGATCCGAGTTTATTTTTTTATTAAATTACGATGATATATCTAGCATAAATATGGTGGCGGTAAATAGGAAATCCTGGTTTTAATAATCCATCCATCTATCATCACTCATAATGTTTTTATCCTCAGACGAGGAGGATATCAACAAGTCCATTTCTAAACATCCGACCCAATGATAAATCTGTCTACAATCTTTTTATCTTTGGAAATTTTCAACATATTATTTAGAAATCGTATTAATTACAGCAAAGATGCTTTGCCATCACAACATATTTTGAATGATTTAACGGAACTGTTAAAAAATGAATCCTTTAATTTTTATAATGGAAAATAAAGTTGGAGTAGATAAGATTGATGTTAAAACTTTGAAGCTCATTTTACCATTTTAAGAGCAAGGTTGAAACAAAAGGTCTGAAGATGACACTATCTTAACTCTGAACAAAGTTTTGGCCGTCATAAAACAATTAATTAAAATATAAATGGTTTATACCAAATCGTAGTCAAAGTTCTCAAAAACATGCATGCAAAATGTCAAATTTAAAATAATCTGAAACATGGTCAAATAATAAAGGTGGATGCACAATTTCACGTATTTCAAAGTACTTGGAATTGTTAGAATTACTATAATTAGAATGTTAAAAGCTTTTAGAAAGATATGGGTTGAGAGTTATTAAGAAGTGGACGTCCTAAACTTTGATTGTTTATCAAGGAGAAGAGAAACTGTTATTACAAACAATGGTCAGCCAACAAAATACCATCTTTATAAATAGTTCCTTTACTATTTGAATTATAAATCGTCAAATTTAAAGAGTGGTAGTATTGTATATTTTTGAGCAATTGAATTTTTTTCTTTTTTTCTTTTTAATCACAGGAACTTGAGATTTTGCATGCTTGTTTTTGAGAATCCAAGCTACGAAATGATATAATTATTATATTTTTATTATGTATATTTTTGCGTAGTTACCGAAACTTTCAGTATATACAGCGGAATCATTCATTAATACAAAAATTGTTCAACTTCTTGAAGTGCATGGTGAATTATACTTTATTCTTTAAAGAAAAAAATGAATGGGTTCTACAAAATTTAGTTATAAAAAATTACATCAAGGTGTCAATTTCAAGATTCTCGGAGTAGAGCGTTACTATTACAGTACAAAACCGAACATGGATTTGTCCGTTAAAGTATTTTTCTTTATAAAACTATAATGCCGAGAGTCATAATTTTCATTGTATATAAATATTTACTAATATTATAACCCTTTATTTTAATAAAAACTTTAAAAGTATAATCGCAATCTTACATCACAAATCTATACATTATTATACTAAATTAATCAAATAAATTACTTGACATATTAAAAAAATAGAAAATTGTACCAGAAGATAAGAAACCTATAAATTAGGCGATGGATTGGCCAATTAGGTTTTAAAATAAACAAATGAAATGGTGACAGGTGTCAAGAGAGAATATATTCAATCCATTGAATGAATCACTCACCCAACTAAATGAATCAAACAAATTTATTTTATGACTCATTAAATGAAAAAAAGATTTAGGCAGGAAGAACATGAAGATAAGAAAGCACAAATAATCCATAAATTAGGTGATGAATTAATAAATAGAATTAGAATCTTATTTAATAATTACATGAAACAGTTACATTCAATGAATTTAAAAACATTGAATATTTAGCCAAAGGTGGATTTGGAGTACACAAAACAATACGGATTGTTGCAAATAGAATATAATTCCTGTGATCAAACTTATATATTTTAAGAGGCAAATCTTTATAAATATGGTTCTATTATATTCATTATACAATGAATATAATAATGATTTATTTTTAACCAAAAACAAATAATAAATTTGGACGTTTTCTTAACAATGTTATGAAATCACTAAAGATTCAAATGAGAATACTTATTATTATTGAGGGAATTTACACAAAAATTAAAATAAATTTCAATATATTTCAGAAGGTCGGATTCGTTATTTAATTTACATAAATATGTAAATATATATATATACAAAAAATTTTTTTTATGAACTAGATTAAAAGAAAATTCATATAGTAATTGCACTTGTATAGTAAAAAAGATAAATCTTTGGAAATAATTCATATCTGGCACCTCAAAAAAACCATATACATATTTAGATGATAATATGGAACATATCTCAGAGAAACCCCTTTCATAAGCATTATTTCGTATTAGATGTTTAAAAGGAGTAAGGTCTCAAATCACAGATGGTACTCCTGAATTCTGTGCTGAATTGATGAAAAGATGTCGGGATCATAATTCAGAAAATAGTCCAGCAGCTAAAGAAATTTACAATTGTTTTGGAGAATATTATTACTCATCTAAAAGGAAAAAAAAAAGATTGTTAAATTAGCAGAAGCTAAGTAACAAAAATTAGTAATTAAATAATTTACTTGTTAGATAAATCATTCTATACAAGTCGTCAGAAAGCCGATTTGTTAAATTTTTCATCAACTAGATCAGCTGTATAGTAAAGTTATTGATTGGGTGGATGGTAAAGAGATTGTAAAATTAAATTGATTTATCATTATGCTTATATACTCGCTCGTCAAACTATTTATAAATTTTTATTATCTTCACATTTTTTTTTTATATATAATGTTTGGGATAAATAAATTTATTAATGATTGATATAAAATTAATATTTAAAAATGGGCGTTGACATAAATAGATTACTATCGAATATATTATGGAATTTTTTAATAATCCTGAATTTTTTCATAGATCTATAATATCTTTATTAGTAAGGGAAATTGAAATTTGGAGTTGTGTTATTCAGAGTTTTAAAAAATTTACAAGGTATTATTAATTCCATTAATATGAACATTTAAGAAAATTTGATATAAAAAATTCCTTTAATATTATCATCTTTAGTCATGATGCATGTTATTACTTCAAAAGGCCCAAAAGCAAGTATATTAAATTTACATATTAAATACTTAATTTCTAGTTGGATTTGAATTAATTCTTTGGGGGGGCTCAACAAACTATAGCTGTAATAAAAATTAAAGAAACAGATGAAACTGTTGGTTGTCAAGGTCGGACTAGTTTGGATATATTTAAGATTGGTGAAAGCAAAATGAATAATTATATTTTGAAATAAGGTCAAAAGTATTGGATGTGGATAATAAACAAATTGTTGATATCAATGCTACTTGTGATAATATAGAATTTAATTTACAACTATGAAATAGTATTGGTAATAAAACTTATTGTTAATGATTTGAATCTTGGAAAGAACTTAAATTAGGTAATATATACGGCTCTTTTATTACTACTGTATAAATTACACCAAGATAGAGATTCCATAATTTTTACGTATTACTTGCCATTATTATTTGTTTACATTTATCATGCTTGTTTCTATCGCATAGTTACTTAATAGTTTCATAATGAATACCAACGATAAAATCCGTCAAAAACAAAAATTTGTCGGTAAACAACGACAGTTTTTTTTGAGCTCGCCGATAATATCGTTTTTATTCAATAATATAGGTTTTCCTGTATAAAATAACAAGCATTGGCTTGAGCACAAGTTTCAATCTGATAAATCCATACCAAAATAACCATAATTAAACTATTCGTTGGTAAAGGTTTATTCGCTCAATTTGTTTATTGCCATCCAATTGTTTCATAAAAAATTGTAAATCATTCATTATTACTATTTTAGTAAATTAATGGAAATAACAGATAAAGGAAAAGAGTCATTTTACAATAAAAAACTATTTTCAGTTTAATAAAATCCGTTTTATTATTGTAGACATTTAGATTGATGTGCCATCTCAAGCTATATTTACTTGTTAGCGTTAAGGTTTCTTTAACAAGATAATAAGACCACATGAAACTTGGTTTTCATATAATTTGAACACAATCCTATATTGTCAATGAAATACATAGTAATACATAAAGATAGTGTTATAAACTTGTAAACTATAATTATTAATTATAATTACTATAATTAATTATATAAAATGCAAACTGGCAAACAGTACGATTACAGTACATTTAAAACAAATCTTTAACGTAGTATAGACGTTCAACAATAAATGAAAAGGAAAATAGTAAAACTACTAATGAAGAGTATAAAGAATAAATTGTCTTGAATAGTATTGATAGGCAACAACATAACAAATGAATATCTAATTATTTGTCATCACTATCATCTAAAAGTGTAAGTGGTGGCAATTTGACAGTTTCAAATCAAAGTTCATTTACGTATTCAATTATGAATGCAAGCGAGAATTTGCTTTAAAAAGGCAATAATTTATATGAATGAACATAAAATAAGAATTCAAATAATTTCGGATTTCATATTCAGCAATCATTTATTAATATTAATATTAATATTAGAAGGAATACAAAATATACACAGATTTTATATTTTAAAAATTATTTATATAATTTGTTGACTTCCTGAAATATCTACACGCATTGAATAATCACCAATACATATGTGTGTCACCTTTGGCTTTCCATATTAAAGTAGGAATGGAATAAAATAAAATGACTACACCAATATGTAAAAAATTTACAATAATAATAATGAAGATATGTGAGTGTATGAGTGGTTGTGGAAATGAGAGAAAATTTCTTTTTAGCAAAAATAAAATTAAAAAATTTCTTTAATTCTAAAGAATTACTTTCCACTGTACCCAATTAAAGTAGGGCGATTTATAGTTTGCTTAAATGGATTTACTTTCATCATCCAGCATCGCCATTTCTCTAGTATATTGCACAAAAATCAAATTTTACATAGGTTAAACATGCTGTAAATCTTTGTAAAATACTCCGTTTTAGTTGAATAAATGTTAAATTTTTGATAAAATGGCATACTTGAATTTATTTTTTTACAGCAATCGTTGGCATGATAACCATTACAGATGACATTTTTGGTTTCAACATCCAATCGCTTCTCCAAGGTGAATTTGCAAGTTACTCTACCACAAGTTCCACCTTTTGTCTTGGGACTATTGCCAACAGATGGTAGTGAAACTTCAGTTACTATTGCAAAAATCCACTACAAAATTCCAGATCTTGCTAAACAATTCAATGTAAGAACAGTGCTGATGCAGATGCACTAGAATTTGGGGCACATAGTAATTAATATCATGAGCGTTTCAGCAGGGAAGAAATCAACTTTTATTGATAATTACTATGGCGTATTCATAATATTCCACTCATTTTAATATTCATCATCATTATTATTTTAATAAATCTAATTACATCATCAATCACTAGGTATTAAATTACTCTTGTTGAACCAGTTTTAGCAGTTACTGATCCAAATCATGCGAAAAAAAAAAAAGGTCGGAATAGCATTTTTAGTGTGCAAGACAACTGTCATTTGGAAATTCTACATATAATTTTGGTTGGTAATATTTTAGATTTAGCAAGAATGAATAATTCTCAGCTTTTCATTAGTGATGTTTTAAGATGTTATATTCAACAGCTCATAGATCGTTTTCTTCTTTATTTGGTACAAATATCATTATTTTAAACAATAGTATATTAAATAATAAGTCAAGATTGTTTGTCTATGTTTATGTAAAAATCTTACAATTTTTAATAATATAAATGAACTAATTGATGCATTTTTGAACCATGATGTTTCCCACCTCAAAAGTTGTCATATGGTAATGCTTGGGTATTTTTTTTGAAATATTTAGCATAAACATATTGAAATAACAGCAAGTCAATATAGTTTCTTCATGTCATTAGAAAAAAATATCCTTGCTTCCAAACTTACAAGTTGTTAACTTCTTTAGCAAAATCAATGGTAAAATTATTATTGGTATACTCACAATTGGCATGCTTGATTTATAAATATGCATTCCAGATCATTTCACGTCATGAATACTATCCCACAATTCCATTTTTACCTTGGATGCATGGTAGTGAAGCATGCAAACATTTTTTTAGAATGATTAGGAAATTAATGAAAGACTTTGTTATTCTGATCTTTTATATCTTGTACGAAAGATTAACATGTATGCAACCCAAGTGTAACTTAATGGTTCTTTATCAAATAATAAAAAAAAGTCAGTTTGCACAGGTAATTCCACATTATTTCTTAGCCATTTGATTTAAGTATATTATACCAAAGAAATATTATTTGATAGCTTATGTGTGTGACTGACTATATTAAAGGATCCATAAGATTCAATAGCCAATAATTACATATTTGGCTAGATTATGTTATCATTAGAGTTGCTTTTGATAATGCTTACAATGAAGTAGCACTCTTCTAAATATGTTGGTTTAGTTGAATTGGCAATGGATATGATAATTATGAAATACCATCTGAAGTTAATCAATAATTAATCACCTCCATCTCTGAAGCAAACATTTCTCTTGAGGAGGTTGTCAATGAAATGACAGTTAATTTTGACTTGATGGATGATAGTGAATCTGATTATAGGAATACCTAATACTAATGGATATTAATTTTTTGATGATGAATCATCTGATTCAAGAATTTATGAATATGACAGTTATATTATACAACTCATTGTTAATAATAATCTTCAAATTTGGATAGAAAATCTATATGTTAAACGAGTAAAATGAGCAATTCAAATAACTAATAAAACAAATAAAGTGAATAATTTGTAATTTGAATAAATGAACAAAATGACAAAAACAAAATGAATTAAAATTGAGTTATGTTACAAATAATCTAATAAGAAACTTGTATTATGAATAGACTGACCGTAATTCATAGAGACAATGAATTCTGAATTAATAAATATTAAATGTAGTGTTGGTTGCCAAAACTATTTTGAAGATATGAATGTCAAAACTAAATCAAAAGTCAATAGTCAAAAATCAAAACTAGTTTCAGCTTATGGTGAAACCTTTTGACTTTCACATGGTTGCAAAACTCTCTAATTTTGGAAACCAACACTAATTAAATGATAAAAAAAATTCAAATAAAAACAAGAAAATTGTCAATACTCAATGACTGACATTTCTGGCTTTATAGCTAAATGATGGAATGAGGAACCAGTTGAAGTTAAAACAGCATTATTAAAATGGTAGAAGAAGCAAAAGAATTGCACAAAACAAAATATGGAAGAAAAAGAAAAAGAAAAGTCTTAAAATCAGCATGGTGGAATTTCTCTTTATCACATTTATCACTTTGTGACGATCTCAAATTTATGTTGTGTGACTATATAATTTTAAAGTACTTCGTATAATAAAAATGTGTTTTACAATTGCGAATTTCTTGTTTT